TGTCCTCCCTTCGCTCCCCCACTCAGGACACAGGTGTCGCCAGCGTTCCCATACCTTACAGAGAGGTTAAGAAAATTGCCCAAGGCTGTGCAGCTGATGAGTGGAGGGGCTGGGACCTGACCCTGCGCTGTTGGGCTCCTGAGGACACGCTCTCAGCTCCCACAGTCCCCCCAGCTGGCTGCCTGTGGTGTTGGGCCCAGTCACATGAGGAGGTTAAACCAGAATTTCCAACACATTTACAGTATAAGAGAATGCCAAAGTCATGACCTGATGAGGCCAAAACATCTGTTCCTTCCGATTATAAATTGACTCTCATTACTGCCCAAAGCAAAAATCTGATGAAGACCCTTTGGGTCATGAGATGGGCTGGAGAGGAAGGAGGTAGAGAGGAGGAAATGAGCCCATCACTTTTTCCTGAATTTATCTTCATAAAATTCTTACTGTTTTGTTCACGCATCACCCCATGGAGATAACCACCAAGAAAATAGTATTCCCCCACAGAATGCCCATTTTTATTGAGTTTTAGATCACCATCAGTCACTGTCAACTCCTCCGTGTCTCCCACCCAAGCATCAGCGTCCCATTAATTTTCGTTCTCACAACACTTCTGTCTGTTTCTACTTTTCCAATTGACTTAACCAATTGCCATTAACTTCGGTTTGTTTCGGCAAAAATCATGACAGGAATGAATCCTTCCTACCAACCTTTGATGCAATTTGAAAATAAACACATTTGCTTGATAAATGTAGTCAAATCTGTGTTAAGCGCGAATCTTAAAAAACAACAGCTGAATCCCATTGCCCCATAACGTCCAGCACTTTGGCTGTCATGTATGCCCAAAGAAATTAATTTATGAACTGACCAACATTCCTATTCCTTAATAGCCAATGACCACGTTTGCCTAGATTTCGTTGGGCCAGTAGCTCTGTGTTTTGTGGATCCTGAATTTAATTCTATAATTTTTCATAACTAATTAGTAACTGTCCTAGGACCTGTATAATTTAAAAGGGTCCTCATGTTCCTCTGAAACTATTAAACTTTTGTCCCAGAGTCCCATAAGGAATCCTCCAGAGAATTCACAAAGTCTGTATATCTTTGGGAATTCTGATACACATTAGAATCACTGACACTAGAATGTAAGTTCCATGAAGTCGTGCAATTTTTACTGTTTTGGTATCTGCTGTATTTGCAGCGTGTAGAACTTGTCTGGCACATCAGCTATTTGTTGAATGAATCTGAACGCATGGAGTACCCCGGACAACACCACGAGCAGCGCAGGAGAACCCTGGGGCCTGTCTGGTTTTATTTAGTTACGAGCTGTGAGTAGGCCTCAGGGAATAGGAGGAGCTTGGGCGCAGGAGGCCTCTTGCAGAGCCAGCTAGAGAGCTCAGGAGCCAGAATCAGGCGCTGGGGCTTCTTTTGTAAAATCATATCTCATAATACTAGATGTTCGTTCCTGCAGAGCAGCAGTCAGTAGAGCTGAGTGGCTGCCGCTGGCTTGGAAGGTGCGTCAGTCTGCAGTTTGCCCCCGAGGGGCTGGCAGGCTTCTCTCATTTATATTACTTGCCCGGCCTCTTTAGGCCCTGAGTTTACAACCTATGGTATAAAAACAGAATTATCCTAACTTTTCTAAATGTCAGTGACATAATACATACTACTGCCCAATTAAACTGAATGCAAAAAGCTTTAGCCTCCAGGTCTTTAGAGTACTGTAATCGTTGATAAATTCTTTTAAAGCCCGGGTGTCAGTCAGTTGATTCCTTCACGTGTATTGGGCCTGCATGACTGTGTCTCCCAGGGCGACCTCATATCGATCACTGGGTGGGCCTGTGAGGAGTACCCCCATTTCTAATCAACGGCAATCTGCAAAGGAATAGCATGCCATTTATAATATTTCAAACACTTTCTTTCTTACTTAGATTACAACCAATCTTATATCTAGCCATACTTAAAAAGGATGGTTTGGCCATAATTTATATCCAGAAAATTTGATCACTGCTAAATTTACAAAAACGAATCATTTCTTTTATCCAAGGAAGTAAAAGCCTGATTTCATCGTTAGATTTCATTTAACCCTGAGGTTTTTTATCACTCCTTACATATATCACAAAGCTGTCTTTGATTTATCCATTCAATAAATATTTACAGAACATTTATGTGGCAGGAGCTCTGCTAAGTGTTTTCATAAAGAATTGAAAAGTTATCACTACTTTCATTTGTTGTTATTGTTTTATTAAGACATAGCTGACATAATTATCACTATTTTATTTTTTTTTAAAGCATCATTTTTTTCACGTCAAACTCTTAACACAGTATCAATACCAAAAATTTTAGATATCAAATCTAGGTTTTTATTTGTGGGAAACTTTAATTTAATTTAATTCATTTAATTTCTTTAATTGATACAAGATTATTGAGATTTCCATCCTATCAGCTTCGGCAAATTTTTTTGGTTTTGGTATTGGTTTGCGTGTGTGTGTGTGTGTGTGTGTGTGTAATTTGTCCATTTCATCCAAAATGTCAGATTTATTGGCATAAAGTTACTCATAATTTGGCTTATTGCTGTTTGAATTTCTGTAAGAATTGTAATAATGTACACTTTTTTAAATCCTCACTTGAGGATGTATTTTTATTGATTTTTAGAGAGAGGAAGGGAGGGAGAGAGAAACATCGATGTGAGAGAGGAACATTGACCAGTTGCCTCCCATGCATGTCCCAACTGGGGACCAAACCCGCAGCTTCCCGATGCACAGGGTGGCCCTCCAAGCACCCGAGCCACCCAGCTGGGGCAATAACGTCCACTTTTTCAATCTTGATACTACGTCTATTCTCTGTTTTTTTCTCAGTAAGTATTCCCAAGAGTTTACCGATTTTATTAACCTTTTCAAACCAGTTTTGGCTTTACAAATGCTCTCTACTGTGTATTTGTTGTCCGCGTCAGTGACCCCCACTCTTGTCTTTGCTGGTCCTTTCCTTCTGCTCTCCTTTATCTGAGCTGCTCTTCTTTTTAGCTTCTTGAGACCAAAGCTTATGTCCTTGTTTGTTGACTTTTCTTCTCTTCTAATATAAGCATTTAAATATAAATGTCCTATGAAGCATTCTTTTTAGGTGCATTACACTTATTTTGATATGTTGTGTTTTATCATTCAGTTCAAAATATTTTCTATTTGCCTTTTTAATTCTTCTTTGACTAATAGATTGTATAGAAGTGTATTGCTAAGTTTCCAGACATTGTCTTGATGTTAATGATTTCTAGCTTAATCCATCGTGGTGAGAAAACATACTTTATTTAAAATCTTTGAAATTTCTTGAAGTTGGTAAAATGTTCCAAATGTAGAAAATAATGTGAATTATATCATTGTTGGGGAAGGGGTGCAATTTAGGTTAATTTGGATTTAAATTATATTAGTCTATCATATTCTATTATTAATTTACAGAAATCATTGAATTTCAACTTGTATTTGATTGTAATTAATGCTGAAGCAAACCCTTTCCACAAGCAATCAACTTGTATGTGTGGGGCTTTTGTTTGTTTTTTGTGACTTGGATGTGCTTATTTTTTAATTTTTTTAAAATTTTAATTACAATTGACGTACAATATTATATTTATAAGTTATATAAACGTCTAATCACTATCTTGTACACCTGAAACTCTTATGTGTTTTAATAGTCGGAATCATCTCATTCAGGAATCACCAAAGTAAGTGACCTACCTTTCCAATTTTCTTTCCTCAAAATATATTTTAGTTAGAGATTAGCAAGGAGTGGTTATGTATGTTTTATTTATTTAAAACAGCTATATTGATGTCTCATTTACGTAGAATTAAATGCACACATTTTAAGTATAAAGTTTAATGAGTTTTAGACTTTCTATCACACCAAAAGTTTTCTATTGTCCTTTCCCAGCCAGTCCCCTCACTGCCACCCTGAGCCCCAGGGAACCATGACCTGATGCGTCCTTTTGTGTCTGGTTTCTTTTACCCAGCAAAATGTTTTTGAGATTCATCCACATTGCTTTCTGGATTCATTGTTCATTTCTTTTTATTGCTGAGTTACTTACTCAGTGTTTTATCTTTTTAAAAAAATATGTTTTTTATTGATTTTACAGAGAGAGAAAGGGGGTGGGAGAGAGTGAAACATCAATGTGAGAGAGAGAAGATCGAACCCACAACCTAGGTATGTGCGCTGACTGGCAATTGAACCTGTTTGGTGCATGAGAATGACACACAACTAACTGAGCCACACCGGCCAAGTCTCAGTGTTTTATTTTTTAAAACTATTTCCCAGCCTTGGCCAGGTAACTCAGTTGGTTAGAGCATCATTCCCATATGGCAAGGTTGCGGGTTCGATCCTCTGTCACAGCACATACAAGAAGCAACCAATGAATGCATGAAAAAGTGGAACAACAAATCGGTGTTTCTCCCTCTCTCTCTTTCTCTGAAGTCAATTTTAAAAAACTATGTCTTGCCCTGACCGGTGTGCCTTGGTGGTTAGAGAGTTCACCCATGGACAAAAGGGTCGCAGATTCGATTCCCCATCGAGGGTGCATACCTGAGTTGCGGGTTCAATCCTCAGCCCTGGAGGCAGTCGACTGATGTGTCTCTCTCACATGGATGTTTCTCTNTGACTGATGAGTCTCTCTCACATGGATGTTTCTCTCTCTCTCCCCCTCCCTTCTACTCTCTCTAAAAATCAATGGAAAAAATATCCTCNCGACTGATGTGTCTCTCTCACATGGATGTTTCTCTCTCTCTCCTCCTCCTTTCTACTCTCTCTAAAAATCAATGGAAAAAATATCCTCAGGTGAGGATTAACAACAGCAACAGCTATTCCTTAATATCCCTTGGCTTTAAATCTCATCTCATAAAACTTTAAATTTCAAATCAGGTTTAAGGGTCATGTTTTATCTTCTTGAAAACAGCTTTATGTCAACATCTTGAAATGATTTAAAATGGGGTCTCGGTCCCTGAGCCTTGCTCCCTGGACCGTGTCTATGACAGTGGGTGGGGATCCGTGCACTGTTCCTAGGAGGCAGGAGGTCACACACGCTGTATGATCTTGACCAGGAAGGCAAAAGAGGCCCAAACCCAGCCCTGTGGTGGGTGAGTAACGAAGGAGACGAAGTGAAGTGGAGTTTCCGAGAGGTGACAGACTTAACCTGCCGCACAGCCAACGTCCTCACACAGACCTGCGGCCTGCAGCAGGGAGACCGCCTCGCCTTGATTCTGCCTCGAGTGCCCGAGTGGTGGCTGGTGGCCCTGGGCTGCATCCGAACAGGTCAGTGACTCCGAGGGACCCCTAGAGACTTAGGGATGGGCAGAGCCGCCTGGCCTTGGGATAGTAGGTGCCTTCTCTCCCTACCTTCTTTCTTCTTCACGGTCCTTCTCTTTCCCAAACTCCCTCAAATGCTTTTCACCCCTTCCCTTCCCCTCTCTCCCTCAACTCACATTCGCTCAGACACAACGCCATGGTTCTCCTTCATTCACACGCACGCACACACTCACACTCACCACTGCCTCTTGCACAGCCCCAGACATTATCACTTCTTAAAGATTCATCAATTGCTAACCTTTTGTCATATTTGAACATCCCACTGAGTTATTTNTCAGACAATATCACTTTTTTAAGATTCATCAATTATTAACCTTTTGCCATATTTGATTCTCCCACTGAATTATTTAGGAATCAGTTGCAGCCCTAGCTGGTTGGGCTCAGTGGCTGGCCCTCGGACGGAAGGGTCCCGGGTTCGATTCCTGTCAAGGGCACGTACCTAGGTGGCAGGTGCGATCCTTGGCCTTGGTCAGGGTGCAACCAATCAATGTGTCTCTCTCACATCGGTGTTTCTCTTTCTCTCTCTCCCTCCCTCCCACGCTCTCTAAAAATCAATGGGAAAAATACCCTCAGGTGAGGATTAAACAAACAAACAAACAAAAAGTCAGTTGCAGACACTGTGACACCCATAAATACCGTGTAAATGCCCATAAACACTGGGCCCCAGACACTTCCTTCACATAGCAACAGACTTGTCACACAAGAAGCCTGACATCAGTACAATGCAGTTACCTGGTGCATATCCATAGTGGAAATTCCTCAGCTGCCTTAATAATGTCCTTGAGAGCCATTCCTTTCTTTAAGTCCAAAATCCAGCTGAGGGTCATGCTTTGCATTTAGTTGATTTAGTTGTCATGTCTTCCCAGTGTCCTTTAATCTAGAATGGTTNAAGGGTCATGCTTTGCACTTAGTTGATTTAGTTGTCATGTCTTCCCAGTGTCCTTTCATCTAGAATGGTTCCCCAGCCTTTTCTGCACAACAGTGACATTGTTGAAGTGTCTAAGCCAGTTGCTTTGCAGGAGATCCATCCAGATTTGTATTTCTGACTCTTGCTTCATGATTATATTCAGGTTAAGCATCTTTAGCAGGGGTACTGGAGGACAATGCTGTGCCTTTCGGGGTGCATCACATTAGGGGCATATGCATGTGTTTTTGCCCTGTCATCAACAATGCTGTTTTATCTCGTTAGGAGGGTGGCATTCGTCTTTGCAAAGGCACAGTTTCCCCTCGTCAGTAGTAAGTGGTCTGTGGTGTAACACTTATGAGGCCGAGTGAATATCCTGCTTCCCCACTGCCTTCCACCCTCTGATTGGAGCAACCACTGATGGTTCTTGAGTGAATTGCATATTATTATGGGGGTTTTATATGAGGATTTTATGTTTATACCCCCCCACACATTTATTAGTTAGCATTCTTCTGCAGAGATTTCCCTTTTAATTGCCTATCTATCTATCTATCTATCTATCTATCTATCTATCTATCTCTCTATCTATCTACCTATCATCTATCATCTATTATTTATCCATCTATCATCTATCTATCATTTATCTATCTATCATCTATCTATCTATCTATCTACCTACCTACCTAATTTAGAATCCGTATGGGACACTTGGATTTCTGTTGAATCTCTTCAGTTGAATCACATGTTCACGCATCAGTCTGTTCACCTCTTGCTTATATATTTTCTCTCTTTCTCTCTCTCTCTAAATAGTTGGTTAATCCATCAAGGTCACATGGAATCGAGGTTAACAGCAACAGCAGAGGGAGCATAAAGAAGCCATGTCACCCGTGGAGCTAAGATGGTCCATGAGAAACTGAGACCTGAGCTGAGCCCTCGGGGACAAGCACAGTTAAGAGGGTAGATGCAAAGGAAGGGACTCCCAAGAGGGCAGAGCACACACTAGGCTCGGAGGCGGGAGCAGCCCAGGTGACAATGGCCATTTCGAGACAGAGCTTAGAGGGGTGGGAGAGAAAGGTGGAGAGTGGGCGCGTCCTCAGTGTCAGGTGGGCAGTGTGGCGCTTTCCTGGAGACAGGGCACGGGTGTTCGTGAAGAGAGGAAACGGGACGGGGGAAAGTGGGTGCTCTGTGGAGCGTGAGCAGCTAATGACATGGACGACTCAGGGCAAGGCACCTGGCGGGGAGATTAGAATCCACTAGGCACGCGAAGACCTGAGCTCACTGTTGGCCACAGAGGACGGAAGGGGAGGCCGGAGAATTCAAGGGACAGCGTGGGTAGATTTGGGTGTGAGGCCTGAGGGAAGGGGGTGCACAATGCCAGGGGCCTGGCACAGAGGGAGTGGGAGGAGGAAGGGGGCCGGGCCGCAGCTCTTCCCGATGTCAGAGACCGTCCCCCTGGCCTCTCTGTTCCCAGGTCCCATGCAAACTTGTGTGAAGTGGGGCCCACCTGTCTGCGGGCCGCATCCACCCAGAGCAGAACAGTTTAGGGCAAGGGTTTCAAATTGTAACCTGCATGGGACTCACTTGGAGGTGTCGTTAAGATGCAGGTTCTGATTCAGTAGGTTTTGGGGGGGCGGGATTCCTAGCCCCGGTGCTGCTGCTGCTACTGCTGGTCTTTGCAGAGCAAGAGGTTGGGGGGTTTCTATGCAGATAAGCCAGGCCTGGGGCCCATGGCTGTGAGAGAGAAAATGAAGCAATTAGGTTCTTTCTTGTCCCCAGGGATCATCTTCATGCCAGGGACGACCCAGATGAAAGCCAACGACATTCTCTACCGCATAAAGGAGTCTAACACCAAGAGCATCGTCACCACAGATGCCCTTGTCCCGGAGGTGGACTCTGTGGCTTCTAAGTGTCCCGCTCTGAAAACCAAGCTCCTGGTGTCTGACCACAGCCGTAGAGGGTGGCAGGACTTCCGATCTCTGGTCAAGTGAGTTTCCGGTCCCATAAACGTGCTCCTGAGGAATGGTGGGAGGCCATCGGTGCCCAAGCGCTGGCAGACAAGCAGCGAGTGGTATGAAGCTCACCAGGCCCGACTCCGGAAAACTCTTCCCAGCTATGTCCCTGGCCTGCTGCATGACCCTGGACTAGTTCCTTCCCCTCTCTTAGCTAAGGTTGCTTTGTCTGTAATATAAGGACATTGCACTTCAAGAGAAGGGGGATAGACTGGCTGGGCCTGATTGAGTGTGGAAGTTACACTTTTCTAAGCTTAGGTCTGGCAGTGCCAGCTTCAGACACCCCAGGGGACAGCCAAATCCTGGCCAAGAGAATTGACACCCCTCCTTCCCCGAAGTAGTGGGGAAGGGCAAGCTTTCCAATCTCCCCAGGGTACAACCGGTTCACTTGCGGGGACTATGGGGAGGAATAAACAATAAGGGGAAACTCCTGCTGAACACGCCGAGTGGAAAGCAGGTGGGCACAAGGGAGCCGAGATGGACCATCAGGGGAGGTGTCTAGTCTGGACAAAGGATTGGGCTGGGTGAGGGCATGAAACCCTGGAGGATCTAGGAGAGAGACTGGATACGGGGAGGACCCAGAACAAGCCAGGGGCAGGATTAGGAAAGAGATTGGTTAGTTCACAATAAAGCCTCCCTTTCCCAAGCCTGACGTAATGAAACTGCAAAATAGGACCTGTGACCCCATCCGGGCTGCCTGTCGTGGATAGCCAGTGTTAGATGGGCCAGGTACAGAAACCCAGGTACAGAAACTAGGGTACGGAGACTCAGCAGGGCAGGAAGCCCGGATGCCTAGCAAGGGGCGAAACTGGGAAAACAAGAACCAGTCCCCAGGGTAACCTATCCGCCCCAGCATATGGCTGGTCATGCGGTTTAGACCCCCTGAGCATTCCTCCCTAAAGATAACATCTAGGCCTCAGTTGTATTTCAGCTCCAGGCCCAGAAAAGCAGCAAAACCAGACAAGTGGCACTGCGGCTGCCTCAGGACCAGAGACATTGACCCTGCCCTGGCACTGACCAATCAGTGGAGGCCATGACCCTGAAAGAGCACACCCGGAAAACTGATGAATATTCTACTGAGACCTCCCCTGAGACCTCTCCTAAGATTCCCCCCTGCAAGAAAGAGATAAATACGCTCAGGATGAAGGACCCAGCACACGCTCCCCACCAGGGAGAGTGNCTGAGATCTCCCCTAAGATTCCCCCCTGCAAGAAAGAGATAAATACGCTCAGGATGAAGGACCCAGCACACGCTCCCCACCAGGGAGAGTGCCAGCGCCATCTCTTGCCCCCTTCTTCCCTCCCAAGGGGACCCCACGAGACTTGCCACCAGGGGAGCAGTGGGCAGCGGCAGCTCATTCTGGGCTTACCCCTGCCCCTGTCTCCGAGGCCCCCCTGCCTGCCCTCTTTCTCTCTCTGACATGCATGAGCCAGAGCAGCCCAGCCTGGGCTCTCCTGTTGCTCTTCCATGCTCTTCCTTGTCTCACTGTCCCAAGTATATTTTTGCTGCCATCATGGACCCAATACCCTTTGGCTCAGTGCAGTGTAGCCCTTCCCTTTGGATACCCATCCCCTTTTAATAAATTCAATGTTTCTTTATTCACCCGCCTGAGATGGCTATTTAGCCTGCCCGCGCACCACAGACGTTAACCTTTCAGCCAAACTCCCGAGACGTGTTGAAGGTGAAAGAAAAGAGTTTTATTGCAATTGCCAGTAAGTGGGGAGATGGGAGGCTTTTCTTGTCCTCAGAAACCCATCTCGCCCCCTCAGTGCAGGCTGGGAGCTTTTACCAAGGGGGGAGAGTGAAAGCAGGACAGAGACAGGGGAGGGGGCTGCATGGGAATGAAAAAGTGCCCCTTCTCCAGAAAAGGGTTGGGGGCCTCGGAAAGGAGAGGGGCTGAGGAAGTGTCGCTTCCCGAGGCTTTCTCTCCCAGTCTCTGGCATTGTGTCTCAGGACTTTGTAGGAGTTTTTATTGCGTACATTTGTGGATTTCCGTGGATGGCACCAGGCATTCCCTTCTTGCCCCAAACAGCCTTCTCTGAGGCTGTAATAAGAAGCTAGGTAAGAAAGAAATAAGACAGTTTTATTTACACACTCTGGAGAAACCAGAAGGTCAGCTGCAGCCTTCGCACAAACAGAATGCACAGGCTTCTGGTGGCTTAGTTAGAATGTTCAGGACCCCTCTGGGTAGTGCACGTTCCCTGGGCCTTCCCCTTCCCTCCCTTGCAGCCCTGTGGGCCCAGCAGCCCCAGCT